CACACACACACACACACACACAAACACACATAAAACACCAAGTTACGTTACCATTCTTGATGCTAACATAATTGATATGCAAAGCAAAAGTAAGCTGCTTTCTGTAAATTTGCGAGACTTCTATTCATTTAGGTGCTGTAGGTAAATAACTAGAAGAAAAACAAAATGCAGTATCTGTGCTACAAACCAGTGTGTTTATGATTATGATGTTAAATTAAAATAATTTGATAAGAAATACCAGTTTGCAATATAAAGCAGGACTGATTTTGTACAGCTAAAATAGCTCGAAATCACTCCGGAAACGTTGAACATTCAAGTAACAAGTGGCTGCACCTGCTATATGTGAAAAATAAGGTGGAAAAATCTTTACATTGACTTACATTGAAGGAGGGACCTGAGCTATATTTAGAAACCAGAATATCATTGTCGTCCTCCTAGGCCAGTATGTAATCACCTAGCAACCACCTGAATACCTTAGCAACCATATTTCAACTGCATGGCAAGCACCCAGAAGCTCCTAACATTGTGTCAGCTAGTTTTGCAGGGGCAAGCACTACTTGTATTTTCTTCAGTAAATGTAAAAATCTAGTTTCTCTCTCCCGTTTCCCTTGATAACTGAAATCCTTGTGTTCTATTCCGGTCTTAGTTAAATCTGTTACATGAGGCCTTGGAGGCGGTGGATAACCTCACGGGTTCACCATATAAAATTTATATAATTCTCGTAGAACATATTCTCTCGCCTTGCCGTTCTCAGGAATAGAAGGTGGAGGAATGGAAAAATCGACACAGCCTTAAAACATAAAACATAATTAACTTCTTGCACTAGCTTAGAGATCTCGTACTCAGGGGTGGCATACCTGTTAGTGCACAGTCTATAATACTGTTCAAAAGTTTGGGGCCAGTCATTTTTTTAAAGAAACGTACATTTTTATTGAGCAGGGACGCATTAAATCAATCAAAAGTGACAGTAAAGACATTTATAATGTTACATTTATTTTCAAATAAATGCTGCTCTTTTAAACTTTCTGTTAATTAAAGAATCCTGGAACAAATGTATCACTGTTTTCACAAAAATATAAAAGTTTTAAACATTGATAAGAAATGTTTCTTAAACAGTAAATCAGCATATCAGAATGATTTCTGAAGGATCATGTGACACTGAAGACTGGAGGAATGATGCTGAAAATTCAGCTTTGCGTCACAGGAATAAATAACATTTTAAAATATATTACAACAGAAAACAGTTAAATTAAATTGTAATAATATTTTACATTATTAGTGTTCTTACTGTATTTTTTGATCAAATAAATACAGCTTTGGTGAGTGTAAGAGACTTTTTTTCAAAAACATTAAAAAGAAATCATAACCAAACTTTTGAACGATAATATATATCCTTGACTCACTTCTTTTCCTACATAAGACATGACCAAAGGAAAAAAAAAAAAAAAAGATTTTTTTTACTATACAAAATTCTAAATTGATTTAACAACACTGATTTGTTACTGTAAGATTTATTAGTTTAGTTAGTTGTAAAGAATCAAATCATGACAAAACATTTGTTTTTAAAAAATAAATTAAAATAATTGATAAAAACAAGTTTATTATTTTTTATCTTTTTTAATTTTTATTTAAGTTAAAAATATTTTCTTGCATTCAGAATTGACAGTTGAATTCAAAATCCACCTGGCCTAAAAACTGATGGGATACATTTGAATGTATTTGACATGTCTGTCTGTATTAAAGGGGTCATATGATGTTGCTTAAAATAACATTATTTTGTGTATTTGGTGTAATGAAATGTGTTTATGCGGTTTAAAGTTCAGAAAAAACATTATTTTCCACATACTGTACATTATTGTTTCTCCTCTATGCCCCGCCTTTCTGAAACACGTCGATTTTTACAAAGCTCATCGTTCTAAAAAAGCGAGGTGTGCTCTGATTGGCCAGCTATCCAGAGCGTTGTGATTGGCAGAATACCTCAAGCGTGACACGGAAATGTTACGCCCCTACCATACTGTGATGCCCTGTCC